GCCGCCCTGCATTAGTGTAGCCGCGCTACATGACAGTGCTTTCTATGATAGTTAGCATCTCTTGAAACAGGAATGAAGATAGGTGATTCTCTGCCCTATCAATCCAGCGATTGGAAGGAAGCCAGTTTACTTTAGGAAACGTAAACCACTTTTGGCCTACTATTCCATTGCAAGTTCATATCGTATCCGTGCAGGAAACAATTTTTTCATCGTCATGACGCTATTTCTGCTGCTTTCTATCATGAAAGTCATATCGTTGTCCTCACACTGGGCAGCACAACAGTACCCACAGTTTATAAATTTCGGAGTTTGCATAAGCATAAATAGCCATTGTATTAATTATCTGCGCTATTGCATTCACATACTGCCGTCACCGTCAACGATCGGTCCAGGTCAATATGCGAAGGGGTAGTCGATTACTAGTACGGATTAACTATAGCAGGAGATTTCTTCTGGACTGCAACGCCTCCGAGAACTCGCAACACTCAGGGCTCCATAGATATTAAACATGAAAAAGAATTGAGAGATATAAATGCGTCAGTTTCCAAGATACCTTCTTGGGAATTACTAGAAATCCTTTTCGGGTTTGGCAATGCCACTCAGTCAAAGTGGAGACAACGTTCTTCCCGCGTTTCAAGCTAGCCTACATGAATTATTACGAATGTGCTTGACTTATGAATCCTATAGCGATAGCAAAAATAAATCCCGCTCAGCAGCCACCTCAAATCCAGTCCTCTAGGGAAAATACTCCCGAATGTAGAGAATGTAGGACTTGAGTCGTTTCGTAATGAATATCCAGAAACCTCGGTACGAAACGACCAGTTCCGGGGGCTGCTGGCCAAGATCCAATGAGAGCAGGCGGATAGGCAACCTCGCCCCCTATTTCATGCCTAGAGAGGACTGCGCCCCGTCAGCGCCACTGACCCGTCTCCAAGAGGCAGTCCCCGCCCGTATCAACACTAACCCGGATAATGCGGGGTAGAAGGCACGCGATGTCTGATTTGCTTATCTCCAATCTCTTGCCTCACGTTTAGAGTTCGTAGTCTTTCCCGTTCCTCATTATTTCGCGCGCCCCGGTTGCGGTGACATCGCTGGTATATAAGCCAGTCATGTGGAAAGGGGTCCGAGTCAGATTCAACCCTTTCGATATTCTCCGTCGCGCCGGCGAAGATCCAACACGACCTTCATCATCAACCCCTAGTATCGACCCGGGGGACTTGCTTAGCCATGGCGAGCAAGATGGATGCAGTCCAGCCTCATTCTTCGGGGCCCAAGCCCCCTTTTGAGACCGACCGCTTCAAGTTTGATGATCGAATTAGTGATTCGGATCCATCTGCGGCAAATGGTCTCCTCGAGTCGCTCGGTTATGAGCCTGAACTAACTAGAAACCGCTCGACGCTTCAGGTGGCTTTCATGTCGTTTGTTCTAGCATCAATTCCGTACGGTCTTGCCACAACATTCTTCTATCCTTTGGTTGGCGGTGGACCGGTGAACATCATCTGGGGGTGGTTGATCGTGTCCCTCATCATTCTTTGCGTCGCTGCATCTCTAGGTGAGATAACATCGGTGTATCCGACCGCCGGCGGTGTCTATTACCAAGCATTTATGCTGTCGCCCCAAAAATACCAGAGGATTATCGCTTGGATTTGCGGGTGGTCTTATGTGGTCGGCAATATTATGATCACCCTTGCTGTTAACTTTGGATCCGCGCAATTCATCATCGCTTGCGTTAATGTTTTTGAAGTCTCCCCCGGGGTGGGCATCTTTGAAGCGACAACCTATCAGACCTTTCTCATTTTCCTAGGGATTACCCTTCTGTGCAACGCAGTATCCTCTCTAGGGAATAAATGGTTGCCCCTTCTGGATGTGAGTGTTTATTTACCAAGTTTCGTTCGTTAATACTAACCACTCAGACCTTCGCGATCTTCTGGACACTTGTGGGTCTTTTAGCCATTGTTATCTGTGTTTTGGTTATTGCAAAGGATGGCAGGAACAGCGGCGCATATGTCTTCGGTAACTTCGAACCGCAATCAGGCTGGCCTGATGGTTGGGCTTTCTGTGTTGGTTTGCTTCAAGCCGCATATGCCACTTCTTCAACTGGAATGGTGATCTCGTGCGTTCCCCTTCTCAAAATCATTTCCATACCAAACACCAAGCTTACTTGAATACAGTATGTGTGAAGAGGTCCAGGATCCATCTCGGCAGGTACCCAGGGCAATCGTGGGCACCATCATCATGAACACAATTGCTGGGCTCCTTTTCCTTATTCCGCTCGTATTTGTGCTTCACGATTCGGCAGCTCTCATCGCTTTGGTGTCTGGTCAGCCAGTCCCGACCATCATCAAATCAGCCATCGGCAATTCAACTGGTGCATTTCTCCTCCTACTTCCATTGGCCGTGCTTGCTCTTCTATGTGGTATCGGATGTACAACAGCGGTATCGCGTTCGGTCTGGGCGTTTGCACGAGATGGAGGTATTCCGTTCTCCAAACACTGGAAAGTGGTCAATCAGTCCCTGGGTCTGCCTTTCAATGCTATGATGCTTGGAATGGTCATTGAGATTGCCCTTGGGCTCATCTATTTCGGCTCCACTGCTGCTTTCAATGCTTTCTCGGGCGTTGGCGTCATCACTCTAACAGTTAGCTATGCATGCCCAATTGCTGTTTCCTTTATGGGTGGTCGGAAACACATCAAAAATGGGAAGTTCGATCTGGGCAGACTTGGGCTGTTCTGCAATGTCATTGCATTGGGTTAGTGCTGTGTTCCTCCATCTTCTCGAAAATTCACTGACCAGGTTTTCATTTTAGCATGGAGTTTACTGGCCGTTCCTCTATTTTGTATGCCGGCCTACCTTCCTGTTACACCGGAGTCGGTCAACTATGCGCCTGTTGTATTCGTCGCATTCATCATCATTGCTACATTCTGGTACTGGGCCTGGGGTAGGGAGAAATACGTTGGCCCTCCTACAGCCGATGAGGCTGTCATTGACCTTCGCCTATCTGGCGCATAGCTATTTAGATAGCATTGTACACAGCATTTGACTTGCATGGAATTATACTATCCGTACAAGTTTGATTATTCCTTCTAGTCTATACTAAACACGGATGGTCTATCAGGAGAGCAATTCGTCGGTATTGAACTTTTCAATCCCTTGTAATGTCACAGATCTGAGTTCCCAATCCATGGCTGATGTTAATTCGTAGCTTGTCACCTGGCTGGAGAAACCGCGGTGGGCTCTTCGAGATACCAATTCCACATGGTGTTCCAGTGATGATGACAGTTCCAGGTCGAAGTGTATGTCCCTGTGGCTATGTGAGTAGAGCTAACAGGTAAATCAATATTATCGCACATACCTTTGACAAGTGAGACACAATCTCAGGTACACTGAAAATCATATCGTCTGCGTACCCATTTTGCATAGTCTTCCCATTTAAAAATGTGCGAAGGTTAAGTTCAGCGGGATTCGGAATCAATTCTGTTGACCCAATACAAGGTCCAAGTGGACAAAATCCATCCTATAACAGTTAGTTCAACGCATCATCATTTCTTGGGGGCTTGGTTTCTGTACCATTCCCTTCGCATAAGACCATTGGGAGGTCCTCTCTTGATGCTGCCGAGCAGTCACGTCATTTGCTGTAGCATACCCAAGAATGTAGCTCTCTGCATCGGCAACTGAGACGTTCTTGCACAGTTTACCGATGATGATAGCAAGCTCGACTTCATAATCGGCTTCATCACATTCCACATTCGAGGGCAATACGATAGGATCCGAAGCCGACGCGATGCAGGTATCGGCCTTCAGGAAAACACTATATCAAATTAGCGCTGACTCCAGTTTTATTGACTCGCTACTCACGTAGGGGTACTTGGAAGGGCCAGCTTCATCTCAGCTGCGTGCTCTTTGTAATTGAGACCAATGCATCGAACAGTCCCTGCCTCTTGCTGTGAAACTGGCGGCAATAATTTGTGAATGCCTCTAGTCTCTCCGGTAAACTGAGCTTCATAATCCAACGCACAGCCTCCTTCGACTACTCTCACGGCCACTTCTTCCTTGTTTGCGATTGCAAGACCCACTAGTGATAACCGGTCAGATCAGGATGCTCGTTTTGGATTACTATCCTTACCATCAAGATCAAAATCGACAGGCTCGCCTCCATAAATCTTTCCATCGTGGCTCTCAAATCGAACCCATCTTTTCCAGACCTAAATTTTGTAAGCTCAAACACAAGTGATTGATTTTAGAAAAATGCTTACTGGGTATTGGGCTCCTGTAGCAGTCACCGAGGCAGTCACTTTTTCTTTTGGTCCGTTGGAAATACCCATGATGTACTTTGGTCGAGAAATTTTTCAATGTACATTTTGGACTATCACCCTCAAGGCTCTCTTAAAATGGCTATCAGCTACCCCAACGCACATGATGTGTGTCGGGAAATTCATCGGGAAATAGATGGCTGATAAGGGGGTGAAGGGAGCAATTTACCGATGCCAAGATGATAAACGCGGGGAAAGAGAGTTTGTGCTCTCCCAGATACGGGGGTCCGCGACTGTCGGAACTAGGCCGAGTATCCCACAAATATGGGGAAAGACTGGAGGAAAAAATGGCGAGATTCATCACAAATACGCCATATTCATGCCTGTTGTGAGAAAATTTCACGGTATCAAGATGCGCTGCCGCTACCAAAATCCTTGCGAGAAAGGAATGCCAATACGATGATTATTACGATAACAGCGTGTTCTAATGCTTTCCAATGGTTCTTATCGCGTCTCCACGCCTTCGGGGGGCAAGACTCCAACAGCCACTCGAATCTTGACTCACTCCAGATAGTGACCCCAGTGTGGATCGGGAAATCATCTCGCCCTTCTCCAATCCCCAGAATAAACCGATTATTTTCCCGACAAAGATTGTTATCTTCATCAACGCTGGCATTTATAGCTCCGAGCGGGTCAATGACCTAGAGTTGCTTCATTGTCGCATTTGATTTTTTCCTACGCGTCTTCAAAATGAACAAGGAAACGGATATCGCATTCAAAATGGAGGGCGCATCGGAGCATGATGTGCAATTGGGAAATCTCTCAATTGACCCGGCCAGAGAACGAAAGCTCGTCTTAAAGCTGGATCTCTTCATCTGCCCCTTAGTTATGCTCATCTTCCTGGTCGCGTATCTCGATCGCAGCAACTTAGGGTGAGTTCAATTTGGCCTTTGTTCACTCGATCAATTATTGACATATCGTATCAGAAATGCGGCCGTTGCCGGGATGCCTGTGAGCTCTCAACATTCTCACAATGCTTGTTTTCTGCTAATACGGTTTTTTTTAAAGGAGGACATTGGCTTGGTTGGGAACCAGCTTGGAAGTAAGTTATGATTCTCTTTTGAATAATTCCCTTTCTAATAAATTTCTTCTCTCAAGATGCCGTTTCCCTATTCTATGCAACATACGTGTTTTTTCGAAATCCCATTTTCAATGCTGCTCAAGAAATTGCGTCCGAATCGTTTAATTTCGGCTCTCATCATTGGCTTTAGTGCCTCTATCATATCGGCAGGCTTCATCAAGAACGCAGCTGGTCTTTACATAACCCGCTTGCTTCTGGGTGTTTTCGAGAGTGGATTGTTTCCGTACGATCATATTCCCCGCCTATTCTAGGTCATTATTAACATTTCACAGTTGCCTCACTGTGCTTTTGACAACTTTTTATAAGCGCGAAGAGCAGGCACAAAGAATATCTTATCTATTCGTATCAGCTGCGCTCAGTGGTGGATTCGGTGGCTTGTATGTAGCACACTTTCCCTGGAATCTATCTATACTAACCCTCGCCAGGCTGGCCTTTGGTCTCCTTCGTCTTGATGGGGCCGCCGGACTCGAAGGTTGGCGCTGGCTCTTTATTGTTGAGGGTCTTATGAGCGCAGTCATCGGCATCGCCACATTCTTCTTCCTTCCTAACGATTTCGAGACAGCTTACTTCCTTAATGAGGAAGATAAGGCCCTCATGCGAATCCGCATGCAGTCATCTGGGCAGTATGCTGCAGAAGAATCGTTTCACATTCAGGAAGTTTGGAAGACACTAAAGGACCCCAAAAGTTGGTTGACATCGCTCAACCAAATTAGCGTCAATATCTGCTCCTTCGGATTCAGCACTTTTCTACCAACTATCATCAAAGGGTTTGGCTACAGCTCAGTTCTCACACAGCTTCTTACAGTCCCTGTTTATATCTGGGCTTCCGTCTTCTACCTCGTCATTGCTCATTTCTCCGACATGATACGTATGCGGGCAATGTTCATGGTGCCTCTGTGTCTCGTCACGGCTGTGGGGTATGCAATGATGCTGGGAATAGATGTCCATGCCAGAGGCCCACTCTACTTTGCCACATTTGTTTGTGTCACTGGGTAAGTTCATTCTACATATTTGATTTTTGCATTATCTCTAACTTTGATGGTAGAATCTATTGTACTGTCGGCCTCGGTGTCTCCTGGAATGCAAACAGCCACGCTGGATACTACAAAAGAACCATGGCTGTCGGCTTGCAACAGTCTATTGGTAATTGCGCCGGATTGATAGTAAGTAATATTAAGTATCATACTCACTTGGTCCGTATCTAATATTTGCTTCAGGCTGGCCAAATCTATAAGTCGGCCACTAATGGCCGTTATGTCATTGGACATTCAGTGTCTCTTGCAGCCATTTGTGTTGCCTTCTGCGGTAATATCAGTATGTATTTGCTTTTGAAGTATCACAACAATAAGCGGGCAAAGATGACCCCGGAAGAACGAGAGGAAGTCATTCAATCTGGGTCGTATGAGAAGAAAGGAGGCGACTACCACCCAGATTTCAAGTATATCCTGTAATTTACCACTCTATTTGAGAAGATTCAATGAGAAGATTAATTCAAATAAATCGGATGTCCTACTAGTCATGGTATGCAATCTCCGAAATCATTTGCTCCCATGTTTCCAAGTCCGTAGCCTGAGGGAAAGCAAAGTTTTGATCCTCCCATATTGCCGGCCACATCATATCGGGCGAATACCCAGGCACATCATTTGGAGAGGCACCTAAAGCATCGTGGCCCGAGGGTAATTCTGTTTCCGATGTGATTTTATGTCTGTCTTCTTCTCGGAAGCTGCCACGGTCCATAATGCCTGGCATTATATCCACTGGCTGAACGTGTTCATTGTCACCAGAGAAGTCACTCGCTTTGGCAAATCCTTTTGTCCGGACGATGCAAAGTTCAACGACTTTGACTTCCGCGAGACCAAATTCATTCAACCATGCATCTTCTCTCAGCCTCTCACAATATTCCTGCAGGTCATCCAGAATTGCCGCTGTTTGGGGGGCGTTCGGGCGGCGAACCGCAATAATACCTAAAATCAAAGCACTGTTAAACATATTGTGAGTTCCCAGTGTCCATCTCATATTTTCTGCGGTTCCATATTTCACTGAGTGCAGTCGAATTTTGAGGTCGGATGACGCTGACGCAATGCAGGCCTCATGACTGAGACGAAAGCGATTTGTAATAGATTCTCGTAAAAGATAAGGCCGGTGGAGGGTGATTCGAGCAAAGTGGAAAGCTGAATGCAAGTAGAGGCGATGCCATGGTAGAAAGGAGTGCATTTCATCTTTCGCAAAGTCCAGATCCTCCAGGGCAAAATATGCCGGGCAGTTGCTTCTGCCAAGCCAGCAACTTCTCATCCATTTCGGTCACGACATCATAAGAAGCTGGGTATAACCCAAAACACCTGTCTTGGATTTCCCCCGCGATCTTGGCCAGCCCATTGCACAATAGGATGACTGTACTCCGGGTTGGATTTCTCAGTGTGGATACCGGGGTCATTGATGACTGCTCGTCTGTCAAATCGTCGAGCCAAATATTCTCAGGCGGATTTATGAGACACATGTGGTCCGATATCGCGTAGGGCCTGCCAAGGGCGAGAGCAATTGTCTTGTCCAACATGTACAAGTTTCCCCAGAGTCTTCGTCGGACCTCGGTGGCTTTCCGTGAAAGTCCCCACTTCTCCCCATCGATATGCATGCCCTGTGCTTGCGCCATTCGCATGGCAAAGCTGATTGTCAGCCAACTCTCCGCTATTTGGCGAGTGTAAAGCAAATAACGAGTGACCATCAGACCAGCCCGAACAAGGTCCAAACTCTCGCCATGGAATGAAGGCGAAATGACAATGGCTCTCCTAGAAGCCCAGTAAAATCTGAGAGAAGCCTCTTCGCTCTCTTTTCGCTTTTCCGGTGAGGAGATTGTTGGATCCTCCAAAAGCACACCGAAAGCAAGAATAATGAAGAGTAGTGCCAGCCAACGAAGATCGATGCCGGCAATTTCATCAAACCCAAATTTCCTGCCCCAGAACTCAGCAAATTGATTTCTAAACGTATCTGGATGTACCGTGTCGATGGCCCAGTTTATTTCGGTGAGAAATCTTTCAATCAGTCTATCGACTGTTACTTTATTGCGTGGCAGAAGGCCAAGCAGATCCCATACTTGTGAAAAGGGGCCGGAATCATTTCTGAAAGACTGTAGTGAATCCTTCGTGGATAAAAGGCTCATTGGAGGCAGGTCCGGGGCTGACTCATGGATCATACTCGCTGCCACTTGGTGTCCAAAATACGAGTTGCCAAAGAAGGAGGGAGCACCGCGGGCGATGTAAAGCTGGCCCAGCTCTGTTCCTTGGGCGTCCCCTAATAAATCCCATTAGCAGAGGGGTCTTAATATTCCCTTCTGCGAATATCTCAGTAACTGCCCAGGGACGAGGATGATCCCTACCTGTTGCCGGTACTGCGTCCTGAGAACTGATGCCTTGTTCTCTTCCGTCATCTATCTCGTTCTCCGGCCACTGGCATAGCTGTGGTACTCCACGCTGTATACAGCGCAGACATGGTTGCTCTTGGTTGCATTTCTGTTTGCGAGAGTGGCACTGGGTGCAGGATGTCGTTTTTCGACCACGCTTTCGTCCTCGTGGGCGAGAATCCGATCCCGCTGCGCCTATGCTGCCGACATTCATCCCTGAATGCCCCCCCTAGGCAAGGGAGTTTTTGGTTGTAATGGGGCCAAATATGCAATTCCGCGCTGATTAGGTGGAAACGGAAGAAAGAGGCAAAGGTAAGACAAATGGAATATACCGAGCCACGGGTGGTTATCTTGATAGCCTTGTAAATTAGGCTTTCAATCCCCACGCGCCAATTAAACTTTTGGAGACATTTGGAGACGCAATCGCTCATTCTCGGCGATTCACAAAAAGTGATAAATTTTTGGAAAATACATGATTCGAAATGAAGACCACTCTGAAAATAATACGACCCATGAGGTAATGTCCCTCATCCGGAATCCTCAAATCGCCGCTGTTCTAAGACAATATCGACTTTTCAAAGAACTTGATTCCTTCCAGTTGCTTCTTATTTCAGACTAGCAAGAATTCAGAATCCCCTCATTCTAACAAAGAAGACGGAGAGAATATAAGACACAAGGGAGTAATAAAGGAGGTTGACAATGGATTGGCAAGGGTGCAAACTGCGATCTGATAGTTCCGATTAGTCATCTGACGTCAAACGCGTTTGTTTACTTTTCAGCGGCTGCTCGCCTCACCTGACAACCATCAACTCCGACACACTTCGACCCTACGACAACCCCCTCTCCAGGTTGGGCCACGACGTCTCGACCTATTCTGATATTGTGATTCTCTTTTCGTCCAAAAAAAACCGGCTTCCAATATGCCTCGGCGCTCCGCCCGCCTGCGTAGCAGTCAGACTCCAGAGGTGAGTGAACTAGCAACAGTCACTATTGGAACCCCTACAGGGACTCAAGGGGTCGCCACAGTTGGGTTTATTGACTCTGAAGACTAATAATATTTACTAGGCTCAAGAGTCCACGCCTCAGCCAAGTGCCGTCCCACTTGAATCCGTCCAGGAACGCGACGAAACACCCGCCAATGATCAACATGTCGTTCGCACGCCAGTAACGAAGAAGCAAGGCTCTCAGAAAACCCCAATTTTTTCCGTACGCCGAACAGAAGCGATAACACCAACAACTGGCTCCGCACCTCGCCCGCCCCGAGAGGAAATGCATCCCAGCAAGGCTCATCAAAGCACCACGAAACAGGTCGACTCGGGCCTAGTTTTAGGCTTTAATCCCATCAAGAAAGATGCCAATGGTAATCCGGTGAAGGAAAGCATGGCCGACTATACGCCTACCAAATCAAAAGCGTCTCCGGCTCCGAGTTACTTTGGCACCCCCGGATACGAGTTCAAGTTCGGCCAGGACGCTCAGCTCAGCGATGAGGCAAAACAGCTGATGGAACGCGTTCGAGGAGAAGCTGCCCACATCAGGGCACAGATGATAATCGATAAATCGAAGCATGCCGAGCAGGAGGATACGGGAGCTGAGCACAAACAGGGAGAACGGAAATTTGCGATGCCGAAGGGAAGGGCCGGACGTTTCAGCGATGTGCACATGGCAGAGTTCAAGAAGATGGATTCGATTGCCAATCATGCATCATCCTTCCGGGCTGCCCCTGGTCGCTTCCAACCCGTCACCAAATCTCTAAAGCGGAGCAAGTCTAAGGCGCAACTGGATGAGACCGAGTCCAACTCGTCTCCCTCACGATCCCCCGCAAAGCCACCAACTGCCGTTTCGCCTGCTGTTGTCAACAAGCGTGCAAAGCCTAACCCAGCAAATGATGCATCTTCCGATCGCTCTCAAGCCAATACTACTCAAATCAAGCAAGAGAAGACCGCTCACAAGCCTGCTGGCCCGCGCCCCCGCTCGATGATTCGCAGCTCCCTTATGACCCCAACTCGAGCCTCCATGGCACGTACCACATCTGCCAGTCTCAAGGCGCCTAAGACTACTCTCATTCCCTCCCTGGCACGCTCACCCGATACTAGAGCGTTGGCATCCCCGCGGACTCCGCGCACTGATTTCAACCCACGCTTCAAGAGCAGCTTGCCGACTTTAGGAAATCTCAAGTCTATTCTCCGTAGACGACAGCCGCTCTTCTCTCGCGATCCATCCAAGATCGCGGCTGGTACTCACGTTGCTGCTCCTGACTTCAACCCTGACTCGCTCTTTGCCACCAAGGGCGGCGATACTACAGACTCTGCTCCGACTCCATCACCGAAAAAGCACGTGGAATTCACTCCCAGTGTCAAGTCTCGCCATCAGCTTGCTGAAGCATCGCCATCTCGGTCTAAGATCCCGACCACTCCTTCACGTTCCAACCTATCTGATATCGTCTACCCAACTCTGCCCACCTTACTCCGGAGGCGAAATCAGCCACCGAAGCCTCCGATGATAAGTCTGCTTTGTCGCCAAGCATCCGCCATGTCCGCAAGTCGAACGCAAACGAAAAAGACAACGCCTATCCAGAACTCCCAGTCGTTACACATGGAATTGCGCACGGAATTGGTAACAAGAAGCGACACCGCGATGAAGTGGACGATGACCACTTAAACGGTGCTGATAATGCTGAGAATGTGCCCCCTGCCGATGCTCAAGTTGAAGAGCGCAGTGCCAAGCGCATCAAGGCCACACCCAGTCCAGTCAAGGTCCAGCCTGCTAAGACCCCTGTCCGGACTCCTTCCGGCCGTATGGGTACTCCTGCCAGTGCCAGGCAGAAGTCTCGCAGCGTTCTTAGTCTGAGTCGTCTCAACATGCTCGCCAAGCCAAAGGGACGGGCTTAGTGGAGTCAGTTCGGATAGGCGCTCGCCTGGTGCGCTGCGCCTTGGTCCAGTTACGGCGCAATATTGATTGGGACGAGTCACCACGCTAACCCTTGGTTTCACTCTGGGCGAACTGCGTTTTAATATCTCGGTGGCACAACCTTCCGGTCCTGCTATGTCTTTGACAAGAACACTACGCTCCGACATTTTTGTATCTGCATTTCCTTTCTTCGGGTGCCATACCCTCCACTTTTTCTACTTCTTGCACTGTCTGATCTTCTTACTTTTACCTTTCGGTTTCAATTCCTGCTCCTGGGGTCTCTTTCTAAAGGTTTCGTTTTGTTTTTCGGAGCATGGTTGTCACATTTCTGCTTTGTTTCTTTTCTCCGGGCATGGGGCGCAATCATGGCGTCTGGGGTATGTTTATGTTTTTATTGGTCGTCTTTCTACTGCTTCGAGATTTGCCCCCTTACCTCCGGCGGGGCTCTTTGTGTTGGAAGTTCATCATTGTTATGATGAGTGTCGATGCAAGGGATACGATAGGTTTATTGATTGACCCTGCACAGGAGACAGGGGAGTCAATCTCGCTTCCAGCAGTCTGCTTATTATCTAAGATTGATGCCACCCACGAATTAATGACTTCAAAGATATCTCTTTTCCTGCTCCTTCAGTTCCCGTAGATGCATCCAAGCCAAGGTTTACGATAGTTATTGAATACGCAGCTCAAGCAGGCGCGCGTTTAATAGGGAAGATCTACGAAGTAATCAAAACTCGGTGGAGAAACTTCTTTCCTCTATTTACATGCAAGATCATTCGTCGTCGGGTGGGGGAAATTCAAGCTAGAAATACACGGTGGGGGATTCAGAGGGAAAGGATAAGAAGCAAGTGCGAAGCAGATGCGGAGTAGAAGGTCAACGCATCCTTGAATGTGTTAGGGGAAAGGAATTAGTTCGCTCGTGCAAGAAAGCCCTTCTTGGGATTTCCCTAGAGAAGAGATAGAGGAAGAAGTGGATTATTGGGAGGACATGAGGCATGACAGGCGTAGGACGGAGGTGACAGGGAAGAAGAAGAAAGTGTCAAAGGTCAGATGAAAGGGTGAAGGCCGGCGGGCAGCAAAAATAAGAAGGTTGTCGGATAGGATGACCAAAAATTAAGGCGAGGAAGAATTGAAGCATGTCGGTGAAGGGTGATTTTGAATGGGATCATCCACATCACGCTTTCATGGTTTCCAGGAATGAATCCAGGTTGTATTCTTCCTGGTATTGTCGGTCATCCCATAATTCGCCTAGATCATCCAACCAGCCCTTCTTGCCCTTCTCCTTGACTTCACCATCGATGTCGACCATGTCGACTTCGTTGCCTGTCTGGTCGCTTGGTTTCTCTGCCGTCTCTGCCGTCTCACTAAGACTGAAGAGGTCTAAGAGTTGATCCGTGTCCATGGTGCCTAGGCCAGCATTTTGTTGATTGACAACGGTAGAGGCGACGTCTATCTTGAATCGTTGCAGACTGGAGTAGGAAAGGATGTTAGCGATTTTGAAAAAGACAACGATATGAGCGCATGTGATAAAACTTACTTTAAGATCTTCTCTTCCAGCGTGCCTCTCGTTATCAGACGATACACGTTGACGACCTTTTTCTGACCGATACGGTGAGCACGGTCCATGGCTTGGATATCCTTTTGCGGATTCCAGTCATGCTCAACGAAGATGACAGTGTCTGCACCAGTAAGGTTAAGGCCCAGTCCACCGACGCTGGTGGTCAACAGCAACACATCGTAACTGGGATCGGTGTTGAAACGGTTCACAATGTCTTGGCGCTTCGTAGCCTCTACACCTCCATCAAGACGCAGGTATTGAACGGACGGAAGCAACTTCTTGAGGACGTCGTTCTGGACAATGTCAAGCATTTCCTTCATCTGACAGAAGACCAGAGCACGGTGCGGGCTGACATAGCTAGCGCCAGTGTCAAGTTCGCCCTCGGCGGAGTGGTCGAGGCCGATTCCACAGTCAACGAGCAGGTCCCGAAGGGCACTGAGTTTCGGTGCATGTGACACATCTCTGATGTTGGAGCGCTTGGCAGACAGATAGCTCTGGACTTCATTGTACTGCTTGTGGCCGTCTTTGACAACCAAAGCAGGGGAATTGCAAAGGCGACGCATGTATTGCAAGGCTTGGAAGATATGCTCCTTGTCGTTGCGCTCTGTGCTGCCCACCTTTTCTTGCAGTTCCTTCTGCTCCTTCTTCGTGAAGTCTTCGAAGAGCTTCTTTTGCAGCTCACTCGGGTCGCAGTAGTAGTTTTGAATGATCTTAGGCGGCAAGTCGTTCAGGACCTCCTCCTTGAGACGACGCAGCAAAAATGGTAGGACTTGCTTATGCAAGGCTTCAATTGCCAGAGCACCCGCTTCCTGTTCCTTCGAGGATGATTTACTGAATCGACTAGCTGCAATAGGCTTGGCAAATCGGTCCAGGAAAACCTTCTCAGCACCCAGGAATCCAGGCATCAAGAAATCAAAGAGCGACCACAATTCCAGAACATTATTTTGAATCGGCGTACCGGATAGAATTAGGCGGTGGTTGCTCATAATGCGCTTCACAGCAAGTGTGATCTTCGCCTTGGGGTTCTTGATCAAATGGCCCTCGTCGAGTACGCAGTAGTTCCAGTTGATAGGGTTGAGGATATCGTTGTCGTTGCGGCAAACATCGTAGGAAGTCACAACGACGTCTGAATCAGCGATCTCCGCTTGTAACCTTGCTCTCTCTGCTGGAGGTCCAACGTATGCGATGCACTTGAGGAAAGGTGCATATTGCTTGACTTCCTGTTGCCAATGGCCAGAAAGTGAGGGCGGGCAAATAATCAGTGAAGGAAGCTTTCGAGAATCCAGTGCTTGGCTCTTGGCATACTCCTCCGCTCGCATGTGGTGGTCACTTGCAACAATACAAATGGTTTGTAGAGTCTTTCCAAGACCCATGTCATCACAGAGAATACCGTGGAGGTTGTATCTGTTGAGGAAAGCGAGCCAGTTGACACCATCCTGCTGATAGGGTCGTAACTCAGCTTTAATAGCAACGGGAATCTGGAAAGTCTCCACCTTGCGAACGTCCAGCATTTGAGACATGAACTTTCGCTCACGATCACGGCCCTTAAGCAGTTCCTCGGAAAATCCAGGTGGATCGGGATACCTGCTTCCAAGGGCACCAGTTTAACCAGTGTCGCAAATGAGGTCGTTGCTAGTAGTCGCACATCGTTATCGGAGTCACTCATTCGTCCGAGAACAGGGACCACAAGGAAGATGACGTATGGTAGAATGCCGTCTTCCATCACATGGATCAGGTGGTAAATGGACTCGATGGCACCTTGGCGGTGGGGAACATCAAGAGCATTGTTGATAGTAGGCAAGACCTTTTCAACCAGCATGGTCATTCCGCTCACCGTTATCACGCTACAAATAGTAGCAAAGCACTTAGCGGCAGCATACCGGATGACTGAAAGTCGGCACTGCAGGGCCTTGGCAATGATGGGCATAAGGCCAGTGACCCACGAGTGGAGTCCAACATCGAACTTGGGAAGAAGCGCGCGTAGCGTAGAAAGACCGTCGACCACTTCCTGGCCGAGATCATTCTCGGGGTTTATGATGTCTTCCGGAAGGTCGCCTTCCAGGGCTTGCTTGAGAGGACGCTCGACAAGGGCAGCAAGATTGGGTACCTTTTCAAGCAGGTCAGCGCCAAATTTGACGGCCAATTGCTCCAAAGCGTCCTTAGCGCCACGGCGCATGATACGGGCTTCCCTGGCCTCACGCTCGAATTTGGCAGCATCGGGGTGGTCTCGCCGGTCTTCTTCTTTGCGTAGAGACAAAATTGATTTCTCAAGTTGAGCGTTGTGAGGGAATTCGGGCGTCTCGGATGTGTCCACACAGCAGTATTTGACCAGATTTCCGATGATCTTGTCCACCGGTCCACGTTTCGTGGCTGCGGTATAATGTTCAATCAGACCCGCGACGGCGGTCGCCGATCGTTGCTGAAGCTCGATGTTTTCCTCTTTCTTGACGCTGTCCATCATCCCCTTGATTATATGACCGGGTCGCTTAGGGATATCCCGGAAGGCAACCAGGGCACCTGCACCTGCGGCGAGAACGCGCATATCGCGCTGTTCTCTCATGGATCGGGCCTCGTCAACCGCAGACTGTGCGGTCGTACGAGTATCGTTGAGGACTTGGGTGGCAGTGATTCGTTGGGCGGGTGTCAGATTCTTCTTCAAGCGGTCGAAGTCAGGACCAACAATTTTTTCGGCATCTGCAAGCGAGAAGGCACTGGGGCCAGCCTCGGTATCGCCTTGGACGACGACAGCAAGGACCGGCAGTCGTGAGGGCGGGACGTGAGCATGGTCGCGGAATGAATTGAGCAGCGAATGGCACTGTGCACGAGCGACATGGAGATAGCAGGAAATGTCAGAGTACCAGGATGGGCGCTCGCCCTCGACGATCGGTCGCAAGTGCTCGCATAGAGTCCCGGAGTACCTGCTGTCCGGACCAGAGATACGCGCATATTCTTCCATCACCATCGCCGTGGAAAGTTGTGTTGTTGAAGCAGGATGTTTCAGGCCGTCCACGATGGAGGACCAAATGCTCGGGAGTTCATGCTTATCCCAGAAAGAGATCAATTCACCAAGCGCCCTGGCAGCGAAAATTTTGGACCGCAGCATCGTGTCTGCGCCAACAAGATCAATGTCACCAGATAGCATGTGTCCATCGACATTGTGGGTTGATGACACGGGTGCTTCCTTCTTCTCGACCTTGCGTTTGCGACCTGGTTTGACAGGCTCTGGGCCAGAAGCAGGCGGCGATGATTTTGCTGGGGCTGGTGCGGGTGCGGGTGCGGGTGCGGGTGCAGAGAATGGTAAACCGGATGGTTTGATGAAAAGAGATGTATTCATAGGGATGGGGTAACGAGGAACACCGAAGGGACCAAGCGTAAGAGCGACCAGAGGTTGGACAGATTCAGATAGATCAGCTTCAGACGAGAAGGACCCACGGTGCTCGATTGCCTTCAGCAACTCCGACCAAACCTGGAGAGATAGCTTGAGAACGCCCTCGTTGCGCTCCACGAGAAGGTTTTGGAAGATTAAGCGCAATGCTTTGCCATCCACCCAGTCCGTACTTCCTTCTCCTTCAAGCTTTAGGAAGGTCATGAGAGCACGGAGAACTGCCGATCGAACGCTTGTGATGGTATGACGAAGGAAAGGGTATAATCGAGGTACGAGGTTGCCGAATGAGGCCTCGGGATCATCCGCCGCGTTTGCCTTCATTGCGTCTAGAACTTGGGTGAAGGTACACAACTTGGCTAACAAGTCCATCACAGATCCTGTGCTTGCGCTTAGATCATCTTGGAGATTCGACAGACAATCCCAAACAATGTGCATGAGAGGGCCAAGCGTGCCAGCGCGTGATGTGACAAATTCCTCGGCGATAGGCACCAGGGGTGGCGGCACTGACAGACCGCACATCATCATCAAAATCAGCCAGGCCTTTCATGACAGATTCGAGAACACCATCGATCATATTCGAATCCTTTATAAGAAGGTCCTTCCGAACAGCGACCAAATACCGAAGACCGATCATACCACCATGGCAAACTTCCCAGATTGGACGCTCCAGACCCAGGTCGTTCTGCATAATGATTCTGTAGAGGCACCGGTATACTTGTCGCACAGATTTCGGCGCCAAATGTGACAAAAGAGAACCAAGGGTCTGGCCAACGGTTTCTCTAATCGGGGCAACTACGTTGTCGGAGATGTAGTCACCAAAACGGTCGAGCATCAGGACACAGAGAAGACGGCACGCGAGATCGTCTAGCCATTGACGGTTGAGGTTGTCGTTTTCTTCCCTGCTTTTGCCCTCTATACGCCCGGCTGCGGTACCTTGCACTCTGACCACTTCACGGAGAGCCATGGCAGCACCATGGCGAACCTCCCAATTGGAATCAAAGATATCAACGGTCAAAAATTCACACATGCATTCAAGCGGCCACCCGGCACCCTGGTCGGCAATTTCGGGCTGTATGATGGGCTTTTCGGGAGCGATGGGTCCCTTGAATTCAGAGACGATCTTCGAGTCATCCTCATCAGCGGCGGGATCGAGCGAGAAATAGTCCGGCTTGGTCTCCCCATTTTGCCCGTCACCATTCTCGGTCTTGACGGGGTGAGGAGTTGCTGCTGGCGTCGCGACGTTGTCCGAGGCTCGTCGAGAGGCAAGGTCGACCACGCGGACCTTGTTGGCGCCCAGCTTAGCACTTTGTTTGTTTTTCCGTTTCAGCTGATTTAACTGGCGCTTGCTCAGTCCGGTATCTTCCTTGCCTGCGGCAGCCTCGACTGGGGATGAAGCACGACGGGACGAAAGGTCATGTAGACTGTTCTCTCGAGAAATGGAGGTATTGGACGATTCCCTTTTAGGTGCCGGGGTTGCTGGTTTGGGGGCAAAATCAATACTGTCAAGGATTTCGTCTTCGTTATATTCCCCCTCGAGGCCGAGGCGTGCATTCAGGGTCTTCTTCTGGTGGAGCAGGCGCGCCGCAGGGTCCATCGATGCCAAAGAGTATTCGTACTCCTTGCCCGCGCTTCCGAGTAGTCGCTTGCCGTATTTCAGAACGGAACTCACGTCTAGGTTGTCAAGATGAAGAAGTCCATCTAGAGAGGGCGCAATATCTTCTGATTTAACCTCGGGTTTGATCTCCACATCGTCATCGTCAGCTGCCGACTTGATCTGAAGCCCGTCGTCCTCATTTGGATCGTAGATTTCCGCATTTGATACTATCAAGCCGATTGCTCGGGCAGCAGCGGTTCTCGTGTCCCACGACTTGGATCGAAGATAAGGGAGGATACGCCCAAGAAGATTGAATAGCTCATCGGGATGTTGTTTTTGAACATCTCCTAGTTGTTGAGCAGCTGTGTTCCGGATGAGTTGAGTACTTCCGGTCTCTAAGAGTCTGTTTAGGAGGATGGTCAGTTCAGAGCTGGGGGATTAGGACTGGTATACCTATTGGTATACTTGAGATGGCACTCACGTGACCAGGCGGTCGAGTCTGCGGATCGGTTAGTCATGTGACAGGCGCGTCGTGATTGGCGAGTGGAACATACCGGGAAGTCATGGCGGGCCGTCACTCTGATGCCGAGTGAACAGCACCGCCTAAAGGTGAGAGGAGACAGAACAGGAGATAAGGTGAGTGAGAGACGCGACGGAGCGCGTCGAGAAGAGAGGCGATCGCCAATGAGAGAAGCAAACGCCCGAAGACCAACGCCCCAAAACACCGCGATGCACCGTGGCTGAGTCAGCAGGGAGGATTAGATTCAGTACACAAGAGCAGATTCGAGGTCACGCAGCCGGGTTTATATCATTGGGGCTCTCTTGCTGAGCGCGCCGGTCCATGTTTGGGTGTGCTGCGCTAGGCCTAATCGGGTATGGTCGTGGTTGGGCCTCCACTTCAGGTTTTTCTGTCACGTGAGATAGGCGAGAATCTACGTGATGATAGGGAGTAAAGTTACTGGGTAGTCGGTGGTATCTATCTGCTGGATCTGCTAGAAGTGACAGTGGTGTTCAGTCTAACATTAACAGTAACTATAGTCCATAGATGGCTGTATGTAGAGCACAGTGTTCATGTGTTAAGTCAATCATCTCATGGCGATCGATCGCGCCAAGACATGCCAGATGGCCTCAGGGGACTCGAGGATTCCCACCATCATCATAGGGGCCCCGAGTATGTCAGTCCATCGTCCTGATGCCTTGCATGGCCGAAATCGTGATCTGGTGAGAACGGTCGAGGTTTAATATCCCTGGAGAGACATGGTGTGCGAAATCACAGATTTCTACCAATAGTGATTGGTGGATTGCCAATGCGGGAACTATATATCCACATTTATATATCCAAGCTTCAAGGCCATGATGGACCATCAGTAGGTAGTATATACTACTTACATGGGTGATGTCTCAACTCCAAATATATATAGCCTGTCCAAATATCAACCACTGAGACATAGTACTCTGGTATTTAAGACCACTGCCCCCCGAAACTAGCAATTATACCTCAAAAATATAAGCAGCTCTTGGGTCTAAGTAAATCGATATCTCCAATCTTGGAAGAGAATACTACTAGATACACCGATCATACATGTCACATGTCATAAGTGTTACGCCGCCACAAAGACCTCCGAGTCTAACCCCCTGACCTATGAGGAATTTGGTACCTGATTCCAAGGATATATCAACTTGAGACCCCGCCTAGTCCCCAAACTACGGCCGTACCACCACTCAAGCCTTTACTTAACGACGACATAATAGTAGTTTCCTTGGAAGAACCGGAGTATCATTTCAAAACATGACCGGAATGGCCAACAAACAGAACATTTCTATACAGTCACAGACCCTCCGGAGCATAGTCCGGGGTAGAATCCCGAGGATCTCACGCATCAAAAGAAGAAACCATCGCGTCCCGGCTTGGCCCTTGCCATTCCCATCTATTGTTGCCGGATCTTTTCCAATGTAGCGGCAGTCTCCTTATCCTTGCCCAGCAATCCCAGGCTCCGGATCTCCTCGGCCTTGGGGCCATTCTCACGCGCGGATGCGGCCTCGGTCTTGCGGACAGCGTTGGCAATTCTCAAGGCACGGTAGACCTGGTTCCAAGTGTCTGATGTCAGCCACACTCCTTCTCAAGCCCTCCAAGTTGAATAATCCCCTCTGAATCTAAGATAAACGACGTACCTCCTTGGTGTGGTGAAGACATTCGTGGTAATCCTCCAAAGCCGGAACGCACTTCTTCTTGCCCTCGATACCCTCGCTAGAGTTGACGACGTAGCAGCCGAGAAGGTCTTGCCAGAAGGGGAAGCATCGGTTAGGACCTAGAGACAGACAGACATCCGTTAGCTTGAGGTGGTTGCGGGGGGAAGAAGGGTGGGAGGGTCTGCGCAAGATATGACCCAGCGGGCCAACACCGCTGCGGACTCGCCTCACAGGGCGGAAAAAGGCACAATGATAGACATACCGAGGTTGTTACCGAAGCCGGAAGCCATTGTCGCGGAGAGGAGAGAGCAATTGGCAGAGTGGTGGGCAGAGAACTGGCAAAGAAGTGGTGAAGTGCCGGGCGGATGCGACGCTTTCCCTCTGAAGGTCGTTTCCGACTTGGCCCGTGCGCCCCGCCTGCGTTTGGGCGTTGACGTCGCTACAATACAAGGACACCTCACATCATCCTGCGCTTCGACCGATCGCCATGGCTCCTCTGAAGGGGCTATCGGATGCTCATGCCATTTTGCTTGCGACCAATCTCTGTGCAAGTGGTAATATCACCGCCCTGCCAGCTCTACAAGCGCAATACCCCCATTGTTTTCCGTTAGAACGCCTGTTACGCATCATCTTGACCTTCCTCCCTGAGAGTACACAACCTTCCGACTACGTTCCAGTGCTCCAGGATCTGGCTAGTGGCACTGAAACTACATCCTCAACCCCAGAAATCGATCCATCTACTGTCCAAGATCTCTCCGAATCGGCTGCGAGGAAGCGAGTGCGGAAGCTTCGTCTGCGACCCCTCAAGCGCGAGGACGAGGAAGAAGAGATCGCCTCCTCTGACCCCTTGACCCAGTTCATTATTCACCGCGCGCATCTTATCGACTCCGAAACGGCCCTCCAACCACTCATACTGAGCCTCCTCCTTCCCTTCTATACACACAACGAAGCTATTCGAACATGGCTTGTCTCCAGTCTTCTACCGGCACTACGACTCAATTACGAATACTATCCCAACCGGGAAGAAGCGCTATCGCTAGAAACATTGGAGTTGATGGATGATCAGACCGCAGTCAACGTTCTTTTATCCATCACCGGCACCGAGAATAACGACATGGATCTGATCACCAATTTAAGAGGGCTCGTCGGCCCTTGGCTCTATGGGAGTAATCGATCGAAGAGGCGCAGACTGAATGAAGCAGCCCATCAAAATACGGTCTCATTTATCCAAGGGACATCCAAGCCGGAGACCGCAGAATTCGCCGGATGGGAATATGTGAATGAATGGCTACTGTCTCGTAGCTCTGTGGATCACAACACTGTTGCCAACGCATTTATAAACTGGAACGGACCGGAAGACGTTGACATGGGAGGGTTTGAAGGCCAGGATGCAACCCTAGCAATGGACAAAGCCAAGGACTTGCTGAACCGGTACGGACAGTCTGGCTTGGCCGTGGTGTATGGTCATATGGACTCATCCAAACCTGCCCTGGAGAGATCTTTCAAGGTACTTGGACGCGTTGCAGAGCTCCTCAGCCTTGAAGAATGCTCATACTTGGATGCGACCGAGCCCGCTCTTCCATCTGTGGACTATGATGCAGAGTTGCTTTCCTCATCAACTCGAGGTTCGCTCATGCAGAACTCACTGCTCAAACGCGATAACCCTTTGACCAAACCATCCCCTTCGTCTATTTCATTTTTAAGCGCCCTGCTTCTTTCTCTTCGCATACTGACCGGACTCGGCCATAATGTTCCTTGCCGATCTGTGGCCAACCTTTGTCTCTTTAGCAGCGAGGAGCTACAATTGTCAGAATTAAGGAATGTGGTGGGCTCTACTATCGCGCAGACTCGGTCCAAACAGCAATGGGAAGCCGTGCGAGAGCAGATTCTCTGGCTACGGGACTGGCAAGCCGACCGATCGGACAATGGTTGGGATGAGCCATCAACTCACCTAGGCCTTTTCTGGAGAGTCCCCCGCGACACGGTTGAAACCGAGGTTCTCAAAGCATTTCTCGGTGCTCAAGGTGAGTCTTCCTATTGTTTACGCGTCTTCTCCTTCAATGCTGACTCTCCCCAGAATATCAACTCGCTGTTGATCTTTATACTCAAGCTGTTTCATCACCGCTCAGCCCCACCCAAGTGGAAGAAGCGGTGGTAGAGGCCATATATAGCGCTTACGATAATGCAAGCAATGGCAATCGAACGCGCGGTGGGATGAAGAGAGCTTATGATATGTAAGTAAAGCCTACCAAGCCCGTGAACTGCAAACATCTAACAACCCATCAGCCTTCAAGCTTTCCAACCGCATTTCCCAGAATCGACAGCTTTCAAGCATATCGGTGCTTTGATAGCCGCGACACACGCTCTGTCATTCTACTCTCTGACTCTTCAGCACGGGGTCCCTTTTCAACCGGTCAGCATTCGCGTCCACCGTGACCCGCTCTCTCTTGTCGAAAAGGTCCTCGATCAAAACGCGAAAAGCTATACCAAACTTGACGACCTGCTCTCAATCGGTCGCAACCTTGTCTTCGCAGGCCTCCCAACAAGCGCTTCCCCAACCGAGAGTACAGACTCAATCTCTTCAGAACCCCTCACAGGCGCAGACGCCCTCGTCACATCCGAACGCCGCATAACCTCCCTCGCCATCTCATCCGCCCTAACATCCAATGACTTCGGCACAGCCTACTCCTACATCCTCACCCGGCTCACACCACCCAGCGCCCTATCAACGGCCTCTCCACTCCTCACACCACCCACAATCCCAGACGACATAACCTGGCGCGCTGTCTACAATGCAGGCCGCTACCGCCCCAGCAGCCCAACAACATCTACAACCCTCCAATCGCAAATCACCCACCTCTCACAGCGAATGGAACTTCTCTCTCTAGCTCTAGCCCTATCTCCGACGCCAGACCCGCTGCCCGAAATCCTCGGCGCCTGGCGTCGTTGTGACGAGGAAGTCTCCTCGCTGCGCGCACGCGAGCAGCAAGAAGAAGATCTCTGGGACGCAAAGGGCGACAATGCCCTCTCAACTGTACCAGGTGGATTCGGTCCGACGGATAGCGAACGCGATGCCTTTGACACTGCGCAGCAGCGCGTAGCACGACGGGCGCGAGCACGCGCCGCAATGCCACATTCGCACCCGCATGAGGCGCCGATGGGTCTGTTTGAGGTTGCGAGGGGAGCGGCGATGGCGCTACATAAGAATGCTTTCCCATTGCGTGGAGCGGGCTCGGGCTCGGCTGCGGATCCAATTCATGTTTCTGCGGATGGCGATCGGCCACTTTCCCCCGAGGATGAGGGCGAGGGAAGAGTTAGGAAGAGGGATATGGTTAGTAATATGGTGACGGGAGGATTGGCGAGTGGACTTGGGTGGGTTCTTGGTGCCGAACCTGTGAATCGGTGATTGATGGATGCATGTATGTGTAGTGTATTATGATAGCAATGACAATATACATTTAGGAATGTTCAATTTAGAAGCTTCCAGGGTTCCTTTTCATATTTCTTCTTCATTGCTATATCTGTAATATGTACATACTGTGATCATGTCGTTTGATTTAGGTAGTAAGGCTACAATGGAAGTGATGCATAGTACTAGTATTGAATACAGAGCCCAGGGTGGCCAATATCAACAACCACTGGCAGATATGCTAATCAATCTCAAAAAGAAACACTCGGCAGGGCTGCCTGATACCCAAGTACATAATGAACAGGAAAAGGAATTCTCCAAAAAAAAGAAATAAAGACCCGAGAAACCAAAATCCTTCCTAACACCAACCAACCCACGGCATCAGATCAAAGCCTGGGACTTCTCTCCCGTGGACTAACAAGACCATAAAACTCCAAAGGCTTCACACTAAAAGCCCCATTCGAAGTCAATTCATACTTAGGATCCGAAAATTCAAACTCCACCTCATGGATAATACTCGCCAGGGTAAAAATCGACCATCGCCACGCCCACATCTTCCCATAACACTCACGCTTCCCATTCCCAAACCCCCTCCTCGCACCCTTGGGCAGTGCCTCCCACTTCTCCCCCAACATGCGCTCCGGAAGAAAGCTCTCCGGTTCCTCAAAGACATCCGGGTCCCGATTCACAGTGTGCAGGACTGATATCATCGTCTGATTGTGCGGTATCTGATACTTACCCCCGCCAACAGGATCGGACTCTTATCTTCCGTGGGGATGGGCTCGATATTGAAACCAGGCGCCGTGGCTGAAAGGCGTAACGTTTCGCGAATTATGGCTTCAATGTAGTGTAGATCATTCAGATGCTCGAATGAAATAGGAGTAGAGCCACTACCGCCGCCACCGCCAACTACCGAATCAATCTCTTCTCGAGCCTTTGCTAAAACCTCCCTATTGCGAAGCAAATAGTACAAAGCATACGAGACAAGATTAGCCGAAGTCGCAGCCCCAATAAACATAGTAACGACCTCATCGACAACGCGGGACTCGCTCAATTTCTCGCCCGAGACGGGGTCGGCAGTATGCAGTAGCGCATGGAGGAGATCATCCCGATCCTGCGCACTATTATCAACCCTCGCCTTGACGATATTGGTCGCGAATTCGCGCATGAGCTGGATATCGCTGGTGAATTTCTTTGCGTAGAGGAGTTTTGTTAGGAGTTTGGGGCGGGTGGGTCTTTTCATTGCTTCCATTGTGATAGATTCCCATGCTTCGATTAACGGTGGTGAGTTTTCACCGGGATCATCGGTTTCATTTAGGACTTTGATGCGCTGATTGTAGAAGCATTGCATGACGGATGTCATTAGGAGTCTGTCTAGGTCGTTTGTGAAAAGGACGCGCTTTTGATGGCTGGATGTCCATTTGCGTGTTAGATCTGGGATGACGGTTGCCATGTCTGCGAAGCTGGTTTTTGATTTAATTGTTGCTGCGCTGACGGATGGTGCCATTATGCGGTGGGCGACTCCCCAGATTGATTCGTTGTCGTATGCGGTGAAGAGGCAGTCGTTTGCGCAGGCTCGCATCTCGACGACGGGGCCTGTGACGCATTTGCGGAAGCGGTGCTCGTCGCAGATTTCTTCTAGGAGGGCGACGTTGCCGATGAAGACGATTTGTTTGCCTAGGACGTTGATTTTGCAGATTGGGCCTGGTTGGATGGGGATGAAAGGTTAGTTCAGCTTTGGAAGTTTGATATTGACTCGGAGGGGTTAGTGGGTAGACTCGACGATACCATATTGTTTCGAGAGTTTGATCAGCGAGTTCCATGTGTCGTTTGGATCGACATCGAATATGTTCCCCAGTAAGGGAACCCCAGGTGGCTGGGGAATTTTAGAAGACATTTAGGTATTGAAAATAATGTGCTGGTATACTATACACTATCTCGGACAGTTGATGTATACACGGAGTAGGTTTGAAAAAGTGCGAAGGTCCCATGAGGGACACTCAGCTCTATTTAAAAGGTCGAGTACTAATGTTGAATATAACCATGCAAAAGTCCACATGCTCTACAGAGTTCGAGCTGGGCCTTAACTCAAAGCAAGGTAACACACACGAGCCGAACCCTGCAGGAAGCTCCCCAATATTGTAAAGTGTCAGCTTGGATTGGTCCAAGCCCAGAACTAGCTGGGAGGTGGAAGTTTGTAGCGAGATCGATCGATAACCTTACTGGTAGACCTACATACGTGCCACGTAAGACGAACTAGTGTAAAGAAAAACTCCCCACTCGATGCCCACGAACAGCTGAGGTTATCAAGGTCGGCTAGAGTTAATGTAGCCGTGCAGTAGTTCTAACCTTGGAAGATGCCCGCCTGGCCGGGGCGGGTCATCCGAGCACATACATATACGAGCATAACCAAACGTCCCCGGATAAAAGTTTTGATGCAATTAGAATGGCCTAAAGGGCCTCTGCATCTGTTGGCATGTCCAGTATAATACACGTTTCCCTGAGAAAATCGACTACAAGATCTCCCTGGTTAAATCCAACGATCTGTATACAAGTTGAAAAGACAACCATTTGCAAGAGGCTACACATTACAAAAATGGACTCGAAAATAACGAGGAAACGCACATATTTTGCGTCATGAATTATCAATTCATCCAATATCTAGTGCAGCCACATCAGCTGTAAGTGCAAGCGAAGGTACAACCAGGAACAGAAATCGACACATGGAAATGAAGCCTTAGTAGACAGATGATTTTCTTATGACGAGCAGACCCAGAAATCTCAGAAGCAAATGAACGCCTTGGATGTTTGGAGTATGCCCTTCTCCGTCCCGAGACAGAGAGAGAGAGGAAGTCCGTAGAATAATGCACCGCGCTGATTTCAGTCTTTCCCGACCATCCCTCATATACAAGAAAGAGGAAGAAAGTATGGGAGGGAAGAGAGATGGGGAGACATATAGAGCCAAAAAGAAGAAGATAGATAGAGAAGATAGAAGGAGATGGAACAGTATGAGAATCATGAACAATTCGGAAAAAAACGGGGTCTATCATGTGGGAATCATGGGCGCTTCTCTTGAAGCTAACAAGATCATGAGACAAGAGTGGACAAAGAGATACTCTTTTTTTCTCAAGTAGTCCGGCTCTTTGTCTTTTTGAAAAGTGTAGAGAATTCGTTGTGGCATTGCCACGTATGGCCCGGGTGGGTATGCCAACAAAGGCCCTGGCCAAGAACAAGTCAATGACTCGGTCCCAGGCCTCTTGTTGATCTCCGGGTTATGGAAATATGGCGTATGTATAGGCGTTCTTAGGGTCGGCTTGTTTAGAAGGGGAATCCACCGGGGAATTGTTGGCCGCCGCCGCCTCGAGCCTGACCTCCGAAGGGGTTACCACCGGCAGAGGCGAAGCCACCGCCGCCGCCGTTCATCATGTTGAACAGGATGTTGGGGTCGATGTTGACGTGGGAGCCGTTCATACCACCCATGCCGCCCATACCACCCATGCCTCCCATTCCACCCATGCCTCCCATGCCGCCGAAACCACCGCCACCACCGAACATGTCAGCGGGGTCCATGAGATCATCTCCGTTATCGTAAGCGGCCTTCTTCCTGTAGGCAAATTGTTAGAGAATCATGTTTCGAATGTCTTCTGTAGTGATGTGAAAGAGAAAACTTACTGAGGGTCAATCAGAGTCTCGTAGGCCTCGCCAACCTCCTTGAATTTCTCGTCGCCAGCCTCACCATCTCGGTTCTTATCAGGGTGATACTGGATGGCCATCTTGCGGTAGGCCTTCTTGATCTCCTGCTCGGAGGCATCCTTGCCAACTCCAAGAATCTTATAGTAGTCCTTGCGCGAAGCCTTCTTAAGCTCGAACTCGGCACGACGGATCTCCTCAGCAATACCCTTTTCACCGGGGTTGTTCTCGGCAACGCTCTTATAATCGCGAACGGCCTCCTCCCAGTTATCGTTACCGCCATGGGCCTTAGCACGAACCTTCATCGCCTTGACGTAGCCGGGGTCCAGACGCAGAGCCTCTGTACAATCTTTCACAGCGGACTCGTACTCCTTCAGGCTGTTATAGGCCTGGGCACGGTTCTGCAGAATCTTGGCATTCATATCCTTGTTGGTAGGGTCGACTTCCAGGGCCTGGGAGTAGAGATCGATGGCGCGACGGTAATCCTTCGCCTTGAAGGCAGCATTACCCTCGTCCTTTGTGCGGCTGAGCTTCTGTACGATGCGGAGGAGCTTAACCGCCTGCTTCATATCCGGGTCCAGCCCGAGGCACATCTTCAGCAGCTTGAGCGCCTGGTCGGTCTCGCCGGAGGCGTAGAAGGCGCGTGCACGCAGCATCATGGCATCCGGGTCCTGGCTGTTCTCGCGCAGCAGTTGGATGGCGATATCCTGGGCCTTGCCTAGGGAGTTGCTGTTGTTCATTTTCAGCTGCGCCTCGGCGGTCAGCAGCGTCCACTTCCGTGGCTCCTTCACGGCCAGGCCCAGGCCCTTGCGGGCATTGTCCAGACAGAAGATGGCCATCGAGCCTCCGCGGTCCTCGGCCAAGGTGTCTTCGGCTTGCTTGACGAACTTGAGCATGTTCTCGGCGGGGGCCCGGTCGGTCGCTGTGGCCGGGGGATCGACCCGGGAGAGAACGTCCAGGGCTTCGGTGGGGCGACCGAGGTTTACCAGGATCTTGGACCAACGGTGCATGATCTTGGGGTTTGTGGGGTCGAGTTCGTTGGCTCGCTCGATGTCCTCGAGGGCGTTCAGGTAGTTCTTGTCGGACATGTGGGCAGCGGCACGGTTGGACAGGAAAGCAGAGGAGTTGGGATTAATTTCGAGGGCTGTATTGAGAGTGGGTAAGCATGAGTATGGTCATGGGTATAGCCATGGGTAATGGCATAAAGGAAGGGCATAAAGGGCATACCCTTGTTGTACTCTTCGATGGCGCGCTTGTAGTTGCCATCCTTGAAGAACTTGTTACCAGCCAACTTGAAGGACTCGGCC